TTATTGTAAGGCTACATTAACAGAATCTTGCAAGTCTGAAAGCACAAATCTCCTGCCCTCCATATTTACCACCTGAGTAGTTAGGGCAGGTCTTTCCTAAGTTTCTTTCTCTGGCCATTACTCTGTCACGGTCTCCCTTCTCTTTTATCTGATCATTCCCTAGACAGTATCTCTTCCCCCCCGTCTTCCAAGGTCACCCTCACATTCCACCCTAAGTCCACTATAAATGGACTTTATTGTCATTTATTTAATCATTGCACAAGAATTAGGGGAATATTATTATGTGTACTATTTCATCTAACAAGGTTGATATATTACCTATGGTTTTAGCATGTTTACCTGTTTTTTGCAGAACAGTATGTAACAGATATATCATGCCACATTCATTCCTCTTATTTAAATTCTGCAACATTATTCAGAAGGGCTTGTTGGTGTTAGTTTGGATGTTTATATGACGTTCTTGAGATCAGTGCTCACTCTCATAGCTTTAATAGTATCCATCTATCAATGTATATACATGAAAACTGAGAAGAGATGCTAGGATTAACAAGCTTTGCAGTGATCTGGAAGTATATATCAAATGAGTGTCCTCTTCTTCGAATGTTTGCTTCCAGTTCCCCTTAAAGAGAAATGCATTCATTAGCAAAAATCTAGTGAGGGGACCAAGACCATCATTTGCATAAGATTTCTTATTTCATAGATCTTATTTCATTATATCACCACCCAGAGTCCCTCCTTGTGGGGGAGTTGGGCGGTGATATAAATTTGACATATAAATAAAATAAATAAATAAAATCTATGGAGAATAAGATTGACAGTAATGCATTAGCTTTTTCTTGAATTGCCAAGATACACTTGACTCATAGAAGTCTATCATTTTTTGTGAGAAATATGTACAGCGTTAGAACAATAATATGGGTAACATTGCTCATCAAGACCAAAGAAATCCCCAGAGTGATGCACTGTAGTCAAAGTGTCATAGAAACTGACAGCAGCCCAGGCAATCTCACTCACTCAGAATGCCAGCGTGACTCTGCGGAGGATCTTTAGAACAAAGTTCTATTGTACCTGCTATTGGGTAATTTCCTGCTATGTGAAAATCAATTATTGCTCTGAGGATCCTTAATATCTTGCTTTCTGCTCCCTAATGGCAAATCATTAGGTGTGCTAGAGTGTCTAGAGATCACCAGTGAGCATTTTCCTGTTGCAGCAAACTGTAGACTCTTCAGAGTAAAGCATCAGACAATCACTTTGAAGAATTCTGTTAGCTAATTTTCTGCTATGACTGAGACAAATTGAAAGTAGTTGACAAAACTAGGTGATAGAACAAGAAGCATTTGAGGCCATCAGTAGAAATATGGCTTATCCTAGTAGCAATGGCTTCAACATGTGGATAAGAATAGATATGTGGCCCACCTATTGCTTCTGACATCCCCAAGGCAAAAGTGTCATCTGTTATCTTAGGACAGCTCCCATTGTCTTTGTTCCCAGATATTGACATATTCCTTGTTCACCTAAGATTGCTACCCACAGCTAATTTTTGCCAATACAGAGTGGGATGTCATCACATTATCCTGACTTATTTGTAGTTGGAAAACAATTAAACCCTCTGGGATTGGGGCATTTAGAAGGTGGATTGGAAAGAAGGGCTTAAGGCTAAACAACCAAGAGATGCATTAAATTATTGAGAACTGATTTATCCCAGCACAGGTTCCCCTTCATTCTCTAACTCGAATTACATTCTAGTTTAACCTTGATCCTGAGATTCCCAGGTATAAAATAAAACTTCCCTGATGGGTAGGGTTAGACATCTGGCACATATTTTAGACTTCTCCTTCAAACTGAACTTCAAAAACATTGAGATCTTTGAGACTTATAAGGATGTTCATGTACAGTAGTTTTCTTGTCAAGAACATGAAATGATTTGCAATTGGCTTCTTTCAGGCCTTTTTTTTTTTTAACCTTCCAGTGTAGCCCTCAGTTCTGGGACTCCCAAAGGTCTCTCATTCAAGTATTAACTAGGCCAACTATGCTTAGCTTCCAAGTCCAGACAAGATTGTCTAGGCACTGCCACCTGGGGGTAGACAAACATCTGCTTCCTTAAATGTTATTGTTTTATTTTGTTATGTAGTACTCTAAAACGAAAATTCAGATGCCTCGATCCAGATGTGTATGGTCTATATATTTATTTCCATCTTGCAGAGAAGAAAGAAAAGCCCTTAACCTACTCCTTTTTGATTGAAACTAAATAAATGACTGGTGTTGTCAGGGGTAAGGATGTAAACAAACTCCCTCAGGAATCATGCTCGAAGTAGATTTTGGAGTTTGCTTCCAGGAGATCCCTGACAGAACAAATGCTAACAAGAAGAAAGTCCAACTATTCACCTTTATTTCATCATGTTGCAGGTCATTTATGTATTCAATTTTAACCTGTTTTTCTTCAAGGACCTCCAGGTAGAGCTCCTATTTCTGCCTGAAAAAGGTAAGTGAGTTGAGAAGTAATTCACTCAAAGTCACCCGGTAAGCTTCCATGGCTGAGGGTGGACTTGAACCTGGGTTACCCCTGTCTTAGTCCAGGACTTTAATCATTACACCAAACTGGCTCTCAAAATTCTCAAATTTTTAGTCAGTTCCCATTTATTTTAGAGATTATTTCAAAGGTTAAGGGGATTTTGAAGACTTTACCATGGGAGGAGAGGAGGGTATCATGATCTTCCACTAACTTAGCCATGACATGGCCAACAGGATATGTGGATGTTCTATCTTTCTATCCTTCTGCTAATTTCCCCAGATTTCCACTCTTAAATCAAATTTAAAGGAAGACATTATGAGGGAATGGCACCTGTAGAAGCACCACTGCTCCCTAGTTTTTGAGGAATTGGAAGAATGTCTCTTTTCCCAAGAAGCAGTTAAACATGTCCTACACCTAATTTCTATCTTCAGTTTTGATGAACAGTCATTTGCACTGGCTCTGATGGAACCTATCTCAAAAATATGAGAGACATATCAGGTTTGTGCCCCTGCTGTTGAGTATCTCTTGAAAAATTCCAATTTAAGTTTAGCAAAACAACTGAATATATAATCATTGAACTGACCATCAATCCTAAGGTTTTCTTGTAAATAAATCCTATTGAAACTATTGTAGCTTCATTTCTTCCTATTGAAGTTATTGTAACTTCACTCTTCTTTTTAATTTTGTACCCTTGTGCTTTCTATTGTGTTGTTTTGTAAGCTGCTCAGAGTTGTTATAGATTGGGGCAGCCTATACATTTTATAAATAATAAAATCATATTTAGCACTTGTAACTAAGTCCCAGTGAAAAGAGGGGGCTTATTTATCATGAGGTTGCAAGTCCAACTAAAATGGGAATTAAATGTGGTGAATTCCAGTTTAAGCATATTTGAGCAACTGGTCTGTTAATAAAAAAAGATGCTTTTTAAATCTTTCTGCAAGATAAAAATGCTCCCATGGTACTATTATAATATTGGATGGGGAATCCAAAGGTTTGTCTCTCTCTTTTAGCTTGTAAGTATCTCTATCAGAATTATTTATTCATCCATGTATTTAAGCCCTGTTTTTACATCATATTTCCACTGTTAAGAACAGTTTGAGAACAGGTCTCAAATTGCACGAGAACCTACTTTTAGCATGGAGATAAATATCATCCGCCGATTCCTGTAGATCAGGCTATTCAAGGAGCAATTGAAAATTTAATGGCCAAATTAGCCAACCAAAGTATTAAACCATAGTGCTCACTTTGAAGAAAGCTGGGTAGGATAGAAACCACTTTTAGGGCAGAGTGCCCTAAGTCTGGGTCTGTGGGACATGAAACTGAAATTACAGCTCACTGATTCCACTGTTCCCTGAAAAAGCCAGAATAAATGGTTCTAAATCAACTGGTGTCACTGACCTTTCGCCAGGTCCTCTGTTTCTAAGTTTGCAGTGACATCACATTTCTTGACACTCTTTCCAACTTCATCTTGAAATGCTGCTGTGTTTTACTGACACACATAGCCAAACAAATGAACTCCTCTTTCTCATGTATTTTAGTAATAATTTATGCAGCTGTGGGAAACAGGGTATTTGCTTTCAGCAGGTTAAATATTTGCCTTCTTTATAGTTAGAAAAAATAGATCATTGGAAACATATTTCCTGGTAGATGAAATATTTTAAAAACCTGAAGTTTCTGAAAAGAGAGAGAGAGAGAGAGAGAGAGAGAAATGTGTATATGTAGATAAAAACCAGACAGAGCCCTTGCACCTTTAACAAGTACACAAGAGACAGAAAAATCAATATTTGTAGCTATCCTCAGGTGCTTCCAGAAAATAATGAAAATGCCATTTTCTGTCTGGTTAATACTGTCCAAGCACTAGCTCTGTTCAAGGATGATTGCTCATTATCTTGACCCCATACAATGCAGAAGGCGGCCTTTTTGAAGGTCAAACTGCTTTCTCCAACATTCACTTCCTTTCTTGTTGCTGTGTTATAAAAAAGAGGACAGTCTCCTTCTCCTTTGAAAAGCCATATGTCTAGTGAAGTGTTCGACTATCTCCAGAATATCTTTTTGGATGAAAATGGGCAGATGATAGGTTCGTAAGAGTTTTGACCGTCTCTGCTTGGAAAGGGTAGAAAAGCAAGGTGAAATTGACAGTTCTTCATTTATGTTGTCAGATTGGTCAGTTTCGCTGTTATTGGTCCTTTGTTTCATCTTTAACAGAAGCAGCAGGTGAGAACAGCCTGGAATGGCTGGGATGGTGGAAGAGCCTTTCCATCTATAGATCCCTCTGAAGGCAGCCACTGGGATGGAGAGAAGTCACCTGCCATTTCCATTGTTTTCATAGTTCCCCAGAACAACATTCTGCTATAGCATTCTGGGAAATTTTGAGTGGCGGATGGCATTCAGTTTATTTGCCATTTGTGTTCAAATGACATTACATTTCCAACCCCACTTAGGAAAGGACCAATTTTTGGGGGGTGGGGGGAAGGGGGTTACATCTGGTCTGCAGAATCAGCTGGAGAGGTTTCCTTATGTTCTGCTAGATCATCAAAGACTCCTGTCTCCTCGGGTCAGACAGTCAAGCTGCACTCCATTTACATTTGAAAGCATTGCCCTTCAGTTACAAGGAATTTGGATTTTAAAATTGAAATCCCTTTTAAAACAACAAAGAGTATCTATCAGCCCTTCAAGGGAGGCCAGGTCAAGAAATAGACACTGCAGGGATTCCTGGATGCTACTTTATTGTTATAAGGTATAATAACAGAATCTTGAAAGCTTGTCCGAGTTCATCTCTGTCCCCCTCTGTTTATACTAAACAAAGTCAAGGCAGAACAGGCTAAACCACATAAAAACTAGTCAAAGTTAGCCTAACCAAGCCTAACAAGTTATGAGCATTCAGCCATTGGCCTTTCATTGTTTCAACATGTGGCATGAACATATCCATTATATCATCTGGACCTGAAGCTTGGGTGAAATTATTAATAGATCAAACAAGTCATATAAATTATGGCTAAGGTTTCTTACCATAACCTCTAATTCTCAAGTCATCTAGATCTGGAATAGAGAGTTAATCTGTGGTTAATCATCCGTTCTAGCCTTCAGACACAGAACATAGAGCACCTGGAAAATAGGGTTGTTTCACCAATAGTGTCTATTCTGTTGCTGTTGCATTATCTCCTCCCCCCGCCCCCCATATAAAGATAAAAGGGAGACATAGAGATAGGTCTATCTGACTGAGTAGATGACCAATAGATCATGGCAAACAATTTTCTGCATTGCCTTACTCCCCCTCTACCAGTCATGTACTGTATATCCTTGCAACCTAGATATGGTAGTCCTAATACAGAGAGTGCAAGAGGTTCTTCCTCCATTCTCACCACAGTTGATCTGTCCCCATTTTAGCCATTAAGGATTTTTTTTCCCAGTATTGGTTTATAAAAAAATACAAAAAATGTGAGTCTACCAACTAGCCCCCAGGAGACCATACAATATGATTGCTCACAAGTTGGCCCAGTTTTCTAGACCATCTGGTGTCAGAATAGCCAAGACCTGCCATATAAACTTAGAGAAATGTGAATCTCTAGAATGAACTCATCTCCATTATTTGAAATAAATGAGTGACCAATGTGTCAGTCCAAAATATATCAGTTGTGGAAGTACTGCGCATGCCATCATCTCAGTGGTACTAAGCTTTACCCATTGACTTTCTGCTTTCCATGTAATTGGTAAAGGCATACTACTGCTGTATATTTTTAAACTCAAAACTAAATCACTGTTCTATTTGGACTGAAACAAAATATGAAGCCAAAGTATATAGGGTGTAGCTTGATGAAATACTGAAGGAAGTTTGTGGAATATAAAAAATTGAATAGAAAATAATCTATTTACATTGATGGTGGTTAAAATAAATGAAACATTAAAAAGGAAGGAATTAAAGAAAAAAAGGGGGAAAAATATCCATATGTATCCATATAGTATCAACAGAGAATCAGTTCAGTCCTTAAGCTTATAATTGAGATCATAGTGCTTCATCTTCTCATTTTTGGAACATAAAGGTTTTTCAGAAATAGGTAACACACTTATATACTGAATCCATTCCTTGGGATCAGAAGATAAATTTATTTCAATTTACATAAGATTATCCTCTTTCCTGAGCCCCAGGGTTGGTAGAGCCAAGATTTTTCACAAAAAATGACACGTCATATTTTAGGAATATACTTTAATTTCATATTTACTTCTTTATTATATTACTTTCCAAAGTTGTATTAACATATGATTTGAAACAAAAACAAAGCTATGACTGGACAACAGAATACCATGTGAGTTAAAAACCCCTCAAATTTCTTACAGTGTCAACACAAAAGCAATCTAATATCTAACTCCTTTTAAACATTCATTGAAGGAACCCATTAGACACAAATAATATTTTCTGATAAATTGTTTTCATTAAGTCTTAAGAAGTATGCTTTACATGTCTTAAAACCTAGTCCCACTGATTTTCCAAGACTGGGCATTCCAATTCTTTATTCTGTCATATAACTGCTGCTGTCATTCATTTTTTTAATTCCTTAGCAAAGAATGCTGTAAATTAGAATTCAGCAACAGTTGGAGAGCCACAGATTGATTACTTCTGAATTACACCATGCTCAAATCATTGTTTCTTTAACTTCCCCTTGGCTAGAGCATTTCCCATAGGTCAGTGTTGTTTCAACCCATACCCCTCTCTAACCTTTGATGAGCTACTACCCCCCGCATCTACACACGCCAACGCAGCGGAAGGCTCAA